GCTGGGGCGTGACCATCGCTGCCGGCCTGGCGACTTACCCACTCGACACCATCCGGTACGCCTCGCACGTCCTTTATTTGTTATTTGTTATTTAATTCACAAATAATAATAATAATATACGATCAGTGGAATAATAATGCTGATATTATATATACAACTCTTTATCGACCACACAGGAGGCGAATGATGATCGCGGGAGCGACCCCGATGGCCTACAGCAGCGCGCTCGAGTGCACGCTGACGATCTGGCGCGAGGAGGGCGTGGCGGGCTTCTTCCGTGGCGCCCTGTCCAACATCGTGCGCGGCATCATCGGCGCCATGATCCTCGTTCTCTACGACCAGCTCCAAGCCGCCCTCACTGCTCCCCCCGCCCCCACCCCCGCCCCAGCCGCCAACGGCGACAGCGAGTAAATGTACACCCGTCGATCAAATGTGTTATGAACTTTGATGATGAGCCCTCTGGACCTGGCCACCCAGCAGGCCCAGAGCGACCTGCATATGCCCACTTCGAGGCCGCCATCACCCGGGCGCAGGACAGGCTCCGACCAAAAGCGGCGGCCCAAACAGCTACATCAGCTTTGGTTTAGCCCAGCCCCTTGAGCGAGGGGTGGAGGATGGGTTCGGAGATTCGGTGGATCGAAGCCCAGGCCTGCTGCCCCAGCTCCTCCCGCATTGAGCTGGACGTACAAATAAAAAGATTCGTGGACCGTACAACCCATTTTCCGTGATGACAAAAAACGTGAGCATTGTGCTGGTCAATGTCGACCCTGAGAACCAAAGACGCCTGAGGGCTTGAGACGATTGGACAGACTGTACTGGGTTGGATATGTCGCCAAGAGGTCGTGGGCGTGTGGCAGACCAGGGGAAGCAGTGGATGTATTGAGCTGCATTGCAAGTCTTTATTTTGTTACATTGTTTGGTATAGTGGCCACTGCTGCTGTTTGTGTGGGAAGGCATCGCCTTCGTCTTGGGGGTTCTTCTGTGCAAGCGCGCACAGAGGTCTGGTTAGGACACCTCTGGCGCGGGTTCGACGTCGTCGTGGTCGGAGTTCTTGCCACAGCCGCCGATCTCCTTGGCCTTGTTGCCGCTCGACTTCTTGGCCGTCTTCTTCGTTTTCGCCTTCGTCTTTGTCTTGTCGCTTTCGTTCTTCTTTGGCTTCTTCGCCTTTTTCTTCGTTTTCTTGTCGTTGGCCTGCTTGGCCTCGCGCTCCATCTCGACGGCCTCGGCCTCATCGCAGCTCGTGTCGTCTGCCGACGACTCGGCGCCGCGTCGCAGCTCGACCGACCCGTAGGGCGAAAACACCGACGAGTCGTCGCCCGCACCGCAGATGTCGTCTTCGCTTTCGCTTTCACTGTCGCTTTCGCTGTCGCTGTCGTCGCTCGAGGCCTCAGGCATCGCGATGGAGCTGTAGGGCGAGAACACCGACGACGATGACGTCGCTGCGTTGTAGCGCGGCGACGAGCCGGCCGACGTGGGCACCGAGCTCGACGAGACGAGCAGCGAAGACGGCGCCGCCGCCGCCGAGGCCAGGTTGGGCGTCGACGCGAAGGCCAGGCGCGGGACGAAGCTGCTGATGCTGGGCTTGCGCTGGGCCTGCGCGCTCGGGGCCGAGCGCCTCAGTCCGCCGGTGCCCGCCGGGCTGAGGTCGATCACCGCCGACGCGTAGATGGTGGGGAACAGGGCGTCCATGGTGCGGTAGATCTCGTGGAACGTGGGCCGGTCGTCGGGGTCGTCGGCCAGGCAGCGCAGAATGATGCGCTCGTAGACGGCCTCGGGGCAGCGCTCGGGCCGGGGCAGCTTGTAGCCGCCGAGAAGGAGCTCGACGATCTCAAACGTGGACAGGTCGGCGTAGGGGATCTGGCCGCCGCTGAAGATCTCCCACACGGTGACGCCGAAGCTCCACACGTCGGACTTGGTGGTGTAGTGGCCGTGGAGGAGGACCTCGATCGCGGTCCAGCGCACGGGCACGTTGGAGAGCCGCTGCTGCTGCTCCTGCTGGAGGAGCTGCTCGTCGGTCACCGGGCCGTCGCTGGCGGCGCGCTCGAGCGCGAGGCCAAAGTCGCACACCTTGACGCGGTGGTAGCCCGAGCGCTTGACTTCGACCAACAGATTGCGGGCGGCGAGGTCGCGGTGCAGGATGCCGTGGGTGGCGAGGTGGTCCATGCCCGCCGCCACGTCCTTGATCATCTGCACCAGCACGCTCTGCTCGATCACGTCGCGCTGCTCCATGAGGTACCGGTCGAGCGAGCCGTCGGGCACGAACTCGGTCACGATGTACACGCCCTTGTCCGCATCCGCCACGCCGTAGAACGTCACCACATTCGCATGCGCCGGCAGCTCACTGCACACATCACACATCACAATACACAACACATTAGCGTGTGTGTCGTGCGGTGTGTCGTATCGTGTCGCGTGTCGTGCGGTGTGTGTTGTGTTGTGTCGTGTGTCATAAAAAAGGGAGGCGTACGCCATGATTTGGGCCTCGACGCGGAAGTTCTGGTAGTCGCCGTTGGCCTTGAGGGTCTTGATGGCGACCGTGGTCGTGCCGCGCAGCTTGCCCTTCCACACGTCGCCGAACGCGCCCGTGCCCAGCTTGCACATGAACGTCAGATCGTCGTAGCCGATCCGCGCCCGCATGCCCGAGCTCTTCACCTCCGGCGTCGGCGTCATCGCCGCACTCGCGCTCGCGGCCTGACCCATCATCGTCATCATCGCGCCGGGCGCGGAGGTGAGCAGGGCCGAGTCCTGCGAGACCTGCGGCGACGGGCGCTGGAGCAGGTTGTAGATGGCGGTGCGCGGGCCGAACGGCAGCCCGAGCTCGGCGAGGTCGGCCTTGGTGAAGGTGCAGTAGGGCCTCCCACGAGATGCGGCCCTCGACGAAAAGGCCCGTGATACTCTCGTCCTCGTGGTAGTTGAGCTCGCGCAGCAGGGCCTCCACCTTCGGGTCGAGCCGCGGCGTCATCGTCGGCGACCGCGGCGACATCGACGACAGCGGCGACATCTGGGCGCTCATCGCGCCGCTGGTGTCGTCCCTCTGGGGCGAGGCCATGAGGCGCGCGCGCAGCATCTCGGCCTGGGCGTAGTAGCTGTAGTCCATCTGCTGGTGCTGCTGGTTGTGGTGCTGCTGCTGGTACTGATAGGGCACCTGGTCACCACTGGAGTAGTCGTCGTCGCTTTCGCGGTTGTGGTGGTGGTGCTGGGCGCTGGCAGTGTGGGCGCTGGGGCTGTTGGGGCTGCTCTGGGAGAGGGAGCCGCGCCGGCGGTTGCTGCTCGACGAGAAGCTGGCCAGGCGCTTGCGCACCACCTTCTTCACGCCGCGCCGCAGGGTGTCGATTCCTCCGCTGCCGCCCGTGGTCGACGGCGAATCGCTGCCGCTGCCGCCGCCCGACCGGTCCAGCGAGCGCGCGCCGTAGGGCGAGTCCTCGGCGGAGAGCATTGAGTCGTCGGAGACCGACTTGCGGCGCGGCGGGGTGGTCGGCACCTCCATGTCGGGCATGGACAGGGTGGGCGCGGTGAGCACGAGCGAGTGCTGCAGGCCGGCCGACACGGCGAGCGGCCGGCCCTCGATGCCGGTCACCTGCTGCGGCACGTAGACGTTGGACAGGACCGAGGCGTCGCCGCAGCCCAGGCGCCCAGTGGCCGCGAGGCCCCACGAGAATACGTGGCCGTCCTCGCACATGACCAGCGAGTGCTCGGCGCCGGCCGAGATCTGTCGAATGTTGTGGCCCTGCAGCGCGTCGATGAGCCACGGCTCGGCAGTCTTCTCGACGTGCTCGCCCAGACCTATGGGACAGTGACACGTCAGCACGATTATGTCGATATATAATCGACAACATCCATTGGCGCACGTTTGTGTGGGTGGCGTGTGGTTGGCCGGCGTACCCAGGCTGCCGTTCTTGTTGTCGCCCATGGCGTAGACCTCGCCAGTCTGGGCCAGCAGCAGCGTGTGGCTCTGCCCCACGGCTGCCGACACGATCTTCTTCAGATTCTTCGTCGCCGTGACCCGCTTGGGTACGTTCACCAGCGCTTGACGAACGTCTGTTGCACGACGACCTCGTCAGCGCCCGCTGCTGTTCACTCGTCATCGCCGTCATCAGATCTGGGCGCCGGCGGCGTACCGTATCCAAGCCAGGGCCCGGCCTTGCCGAAGGAGTAGACCTCGCCCTCGGACGAGATGCAGAAGGTCTGGTCGAACCCGGCGGCAATGAAGCGAATCTTGTTCTTCTTCTTGGCCAGGTGCCGGACCTTGGTCGGTCGGCTGCAGTCGTTCCTGTTGCCGTGGCCCAGCTGCCCGTTCGAACCCTTACCGAAAGTGTACACCTCTCCGCTCTCTAATCGTTGTTCATCATCATCGTCATCAACATCATCACCATCACCAACAACATCATTGCCGTCAGCGTCATCAACATCATCACGGCGCACGTTAGGAGGAGAAGAGGCGTACGTGTGAGAATGACAGAGTGATCTTCGCCCGCGGCGATCTGCTCGACCTTGACGTTGGCCAGGTCGAAGCCCAGCTTGGCGGGGTATCGCTCGTCGTTGGTGGTGCCGTTGCCCAGCTTGCCCCACCGTCCGGCGCCGAAGCCGAACACCTCGCCGTCGCCGGTCAGGAGCAGCGCGTGGTTCTTGGCGATCACGATCTGCTTCACCGAGCGGAAGGCGGTCGTGTCGAGCCGCGTGGGCAGCGTCCACTGGCTCCGGTCCTCCGAGCCGGGCCACATCAGCGTGCCCCAGCAGTGCAGCGCGCCACCACCTTCCACCGCACAACACCGAAATTAATTCCAAATAAAAGACAAAAAAACAGATAAATGTAAATAAATAAAACACAAAAAGTGAGCCTGCAGAAGCAGGAGGGGAAGGTAGGAAGGCGCTGGCGTACAGGTGAGAGCCATGTTGGAGGTCCAGCCTGCAGAGATGTAGATGACGTTTTCGAGAGGCTCGATGGGCTGTGGTTCTGTGTGCATGAGTACGCCCTCGCATCCCAGCTGTGCGAATTCATTTCCTCCAAACGAGCACACCTGCAAGGGAGGAGGAGAAACGTGTAGCAATCGAGAGGATTGAGAAATCTCTTCAATTCCAGAATGTAGCGCTACGCATCTCCCAGCTGATTAGAATGGCAGGTTACGTACCATGGTGGGGGAGCCCGAGGAAGCTGATTTGGCTGTTGTGGATGTCGAGGGGGTGGATTTGGATTTGGCCATCGACATCAGCTGATACGATGCCTCGCTTCCGCCCACGCTCATCTTCCGTCGCACGAGCGGATGCGGGCTTCCGTGGGCTCCGCGCTGATGCGCCCCGTCGTCCAGGCTCACGCGCCTGCGGAACAGAGCCGCGGCCGTGGGCACCCTGCGACCGGGCTCGGCCAGGGTGGAGGCCGGCACGTCGAACGACGACATGCGACGGCCGGTGCGCCCTCGCGGGGGCGGCGTCCCAAGCATCTCTTCCATATGTGCTATATAGATGTAGATGGACGGGGTTGTGTCGTGGTTCTGGAGAAGGCAGAAGAGAAGAAGAGAAGATGGAGAGGGCGGTGGTGAGTGGAAAGCTGAGGAGAACGGGCGACGAGAGAGAACGAATAGGAGCTACGTTGCGCACGCACACACGCGCAAAACACACGCAATAGATAACCCCGACGAACAAGAAACACGCACGTGAAGCTCACACAGTGCACGAGGGGGGGGGTTTGAAAGATGGAAGAAGTAAGGTACCTACCTCCTCACGAAGCTGATCTATACAAGCCCAAGGTGGTATAGATGGCAGCCTTCCCTCTTCCTTCTTCTTGCTGCTCCTTCCTTCTCGCTTTTAGGTCCTTTAGTCAGTCGCAAGCATGCAAAGGGTTTTGGTTTCTGTCTGAAGAATGAAGCCAAGCGCTGAGGGCAATGAAGGAGGGGTGGAATAGAAAAACAAGGCGAGGTGTCGCAAGGTGCGATGACGATGCTGTCAAGGGAGTGCTGGTTCGTGTGCACCGCCACATGCACAGCTGAACGCGAGCTCGTCCGCGAAGCCGTCGCGGCAGGCGAATGAATTATTCGAACCATTATGAAAAGTCATCGAAAAAAGAGGCGCGACAATAGCTCATCGTTGTTGACACTAGGAAATTTCCCGGTTCGGAAATGGCGCGAAACTGCACGCGAGCGCGACGAATCATTCAAGGGCTAATCGCCTCTAAAACGGAGCGAAAAGCAGAGGGATGAACGTGGTCGAGTTGAGGTGGCCTATCTGCTTTCTTTTGTCGTCCAGGCCCGCAACAACTTGACGCGCCCGAGGCGCCAATCAGTCAGAACACGCACAGTTACGCAACAAGCCCTTACATGGACAAGGACTGGAACACACCCGGGCGGTAGTCTGATGCCCGCCAGACCCTGTGAAAGTTCATCGTGGCGCGCAGGTTGCCCAGCATGTGGCGTCTTAGACTGCAGCACATACGCCCACAGAGCTGTGGTTGGACGAGAGTGAGGATTTAGGGCAATCCGCGCTTGGGCGAGAAGCTGCACCTGTTGGACGAAGTTGCACGACATTATGTACATTCTCTCTTGCGCGTTGATCAGCATCTCACTGACCGAAGGGTCCGCCGCCGCTGAAGGGGTCGAATAGCGGTTCCGCTTGTTGAAGCTGCTGCTGCTGCTGCTGGATGAGAAGTTGCTGCATCTGCTGCTCCAGCTGTTGTTGCTGCAGCTGTAGCTGACGCAGTTCCTAGATAGACCAGCACACCGCCTTCGATCAGACCACTTCGTACACACGCCGTGGTACAGCTCCGGAGAGAAGAAAGTACCTCGGAGATCTGCGCGGGGTCCTTCTCTGAGTGGGCGAGAGGATGGGCGTGGCCCGACGGCATACTGACGGTGTGGCTGTGGTGGTGCGGCTGCGGCGCAGCGGCGGTCGGTGCCTGGGCGTGCGCCAGTGATCCGGCTGGCGGTGACGGAGAGCGGAGTCTGTACGCCGCTGAGACCGGCAGTGCCGAGGCTGATCGCGACAACGGCGACGCCACGCGAGCAGGCGGAGTTGACGAGCGCACGGCCGCGCTGGCGCTGGTGAACGGGTCGAAGGCTATCGAAGAAGAGGCGTCACCCGTGCCGGCCTGTTGCGCTGGCAGTTCGCCGACGAACTGAGGCACGCTGGTGAGCGACGACGAAGGCGACCCCATGGGCGAGTATGCTGCGGGCTGCTGAGGCTGCGCCACGAAGT